CGTCCACGGAAAAACGCCTCGCGAGATTCCTTAGGGATGTTCCGGATGAGATTTCGTTCAGAATACGGTATGTCGGGCAGTATTCTTACGTTCCCATCGGACTTCAGTAGGTGACTGGCTAGCAGGACGTCATCTACGTCGGAGGCATTCTTAAGTATAACACGAAGCAGCCTCGGTTGGTTTAGGTGATTAGAGTCCTTCCCCCGAGTGAGCCATGTGACGGTCAAAGGCTCTATCCTAGGGAGTTCAAACCTCTTGTTTAACTCTCCCCAGAGCATCCTATCACTTTTGTTCTGCAAACTGAGAGGAAGGTCGGGGTTGTCAATAAGGTTCATGATTATGGCTGAGTCGTCACGAACCGTAATTGATTTCGCAGGATTTCCAGGGTGTCTAGATTTGGTATCTTGTTGTTTGGATGTCGAGGCGCGTTTTTGATTCCTGGGCTCAGTGATGACCGGGCGGACAGTCTTGGGTGTAGACTGTGCGGCCAAAGCATCGATTGATTTCCGCACGATACTTGGGACGTTCAGTTTCGGCGGGGACGCTTGGGCTTTATTACTCCTGTTAACGTGAGTCCATCCACCTACAGGATTTTTGGGAACCACTGTCTCATTCAAGGACTGTTCCCTGGGGGACCCAAGTTTACTGAGGGGGTCGATGACAGTCGATGTTAAGATGGTGCTGAGTTTCAGCACATCGTCACTCGTGCTGTTAACAGCACCGTCGATAACCGACTGTCAGTATCCTTTTTCTTATTTGCCCTATGCGTTACAGCTTTGTTACCCGTCATGATGCTATCATGATGCTATCATTTACCGAATTTTTAGACAACTTATCTCTCAGACCTGTCAGTAAAGTAATGATAGTATCCAACATAACTACCGTATCGGTGTTGCAGGTATACATACCCACCTACGATCAGACTTGCTGAGTCTGCTATAGACTGCTGCTGTTAGATCTGTACATGCCTCATGGAACCAACCTTTACAGTTGTCACATTGCATGCCAGATGCAACGGCAAAACGGCAACCAGGTCTCTTGCATGAATTTTTCATGGCTAGCGATTTAGACTGTCTTAAAAATACAAGCCGTAAATTTAGGACCGTTAAAAAAACACACAGTAAACAAAAACTGGCAAAAATGTATAAAAACAGTTAACGATAAGCTAAAGCTAGCCTTTACGTGAAAACTATAAAAAAACCGATAATGAGCTGAGGCAAAACCACAGTTAACTATTAATTTGAGTGAAACACAAAAAAAAGTAATCTACGGAACGTATAGCTCAGAATATATTCTTTAGATTGGAAATGGTACTTTTGTTGCGTAAGAACACAGCAAAAGTTTGAGAAATGTAAATCACGTTAGGACTAAACTTCCCGTTCGAATAGCGCTAGAAAGTCGACGGATCAAACCTCAACCACGTGCCAAGGCAATGAATTCCATTCGACTCACTCGACACTGTTACAAGGAAAACTAACGGCAAGATGCCAGCAGTTAACAAGTAAGATCTAACATGACTGCCGGAAGCTGTGAACACGGCTTCTGAAGAAGTTAAAAACGTTCCTAGTTTAACTATTTGTAATCCAGAGGAGTTGAAAGCAATTATCCTGCTAAAAGACACTCACACGATCTGCAATTAGTGGAATCTATCATCAGAAATGTACTTCCAGAAGAGGTTTCTGGGGTACATATCACGAAAGTAATAAAACTTGGTGAATGGATTGGGAGCAAGACCCAACGAAGAAGGATCATGAGGTTAGTACTCGGGAATTTTGAAGAAGAAGACGTATTATTGAATAACGAACACAAAACTCGTGATTCAAGTATTCGTATTCGATCATATTGGCCGCTCGAGGATGGAATCAAGTGTAAGAATGCCCTTTCAGAGTTAAGAACTTGAAAGCTAAACGAACCTCATGATTAAGGATTTTCGAGTAGTCAGGTCTTGAAAGCCAATGCTTCGGGGACCTGTATAGGTAGAACGTATGATTCCTAAAGCAACTTAAATGTGTACTACACGAATGCCCGTAGTCTTCGAAGTAAAACGTCCGAGCCAAGTTTGATGGTGAGGGAAATTAGTTCCGGTATAATTGTTGTAACAGAAACTTGGCTCAATGTAATGTAAACTATTCTCCCATCATTGCAGGCTATATCCTTATCAGAAGTGGTAGGGTTATAAGTCGCAAGGGATGAGGCACAATGTCATATGCTAGGGATAACTTTCGCATACAATCGATCATATCGGAGACGCATGTTAGCCGTACGTGCGAGGTAGTATGTTGTATAATTAGGTCTAGAAACGGGTTAGTGGCTATAGAAGGAAAATATCGTAGTCCATGTTGTCTTGCTGACGACTTTAGCTTCAGACATATCTATTCTTGGAGTAAGGCAGAATGTTGTCTCATCATTGAAGACTTCAACGCACTGCATATCAATTGGATAGAGCTCACATCTTTAGATGTGGGTTTCAATAGCGATCTGTTATCAACAGTTATTCTGTGTGAACTTGTGCAATGTATTGTACAGCCGACACGCATTGGCTTGCAACATGACCCATCATTACTGGACCTTGTCCTTACACACCACTGTGCAGGTGTCGTCGACATTTAGAACCTTCCCTCCACTAGTGAATAGTGGTCACATTGTACTTTTCTTTGAGTTCCAGACACTTTGTATACAATTTGTATCTGCCCCAGCCCGTCCCAATATCTGGAGAGCTAATGTCCCGGCAATCAGAGACTGTGCTATCTCGATTGACTGGTCGGTCGATGCTGACAGATCGATCGAAGACGGATTGAACAAGTCTAAGGCTACATTCGAGTCCATAACACAACCGCTTATTCCGTGGTCACATTGCCCTCCATGGATTATTAGGGAAACTTAGCAGTTGTTGAAGCGTAGGAAACACTCTCTTGACTTATTCGTGTCAACAGGACAGGCGTTATTTAAGTGCGAATATAAGAATATCCGGAACATATGTGAAAAGGCCATAGCTAAATCTTGTACCACTTACGAACGACAGTTGGCATATATAAGTCCGAAGCGATTGTTTCCATACGTTTAAAGGCAAACAAAACGTAGGAATGGTATTCCCGCGTTATTATTACACGAAGATTCAGACTTACTAGCTGAATCAGATGGAGGAAAAGCTGGGACTTTTTCAAACTATTTTAGTGAAGTCTACTCTACGTGTAGTGTCACAAATACCTGTCCCAATGTGATGTTTAAATAAATCAATGACTTCTTGATATTGATGACTGTTGTAATTTCGAATTCCAAATACAATAAATTCGTTCGGGCCCATCTAATACTTCTTGATTAAATTGCGTTATTCCTGGGATTACTAGTTTATACTACAATTCAAATACTTATGATTATCATATTGGCGTTGCGATTGAGCCTGTAATGAAATAGTTGGATATAAATTCAGGTTTTAATGCTTTTGAGGAGTACATGGAGAGGTTCGAAATCTGGGCTATGACCAAGGATGACGATGATGCAGGACCATAAAACCCGATAGTCAGTCCTATATTTAAGGATGGTCAGGGACGGGTCGTATCTAAGTATTGGCCTGTCAGCCTAACCAGCATAGTCGTTAAGTTACTTGAAAAGATAATTCAGGTTAAGTTACTAAGTCACATAGATTTGTACAGTCTGTGGACTCCCGAGCAACATGGGTTTCAAAACAAGCATTCATGCTTCACCAACTTACTCACTGCGAGAGAGCATTGCATAACAGCCCTAGATGACAGCCTGTCTGTCGATGTGATATTCATGGATTTCAGCAGTGTTTGACAAGGTTTCACACTTAAGTCTTATGTAGAAGCTTTCGAGCTTTGGAATAACAGGTGCTGCAGATCAATCGATAGGAAACTTCTTATATGACCGCAGACAGAGTGAGGGTTAATGGAACGCTATCCGAATGGAAGCCGGTCAAAAGTGGTGTACACCAAGACACCATCTTGGTCCCTCTACTTTTTGTCCTCTATGTTAAAGAATTACCGCTATTGCTTAAGTCGTCAACATTATTGTTTGTGGATGATGTCAAAATCTGGATAACATAAGAAGTGAGGCTGATCGTTTTCATCTCCGAGCTGAATTAGACGAATCAGTTAGATGGGCTGTTGGTTGGGGCTTAGAAGTTAATTCCAGGAAGAGCGTACTCATGCACATCGGACACGGTAATAGTTACGATTATACGATTGATGGTAAATATCCTTCACGGGTTCATGAACATAAAGACTTAGGAGTAATAATAAATCACGACTTGAAGACAACTACGCACTGCAACGTGGTTGCTTCTAAAGGTTATCGTTCGTTATGGTCACTTCGCCGAGCATTCAAATGCTTTGGCGAAGAGCTGTTCCGAATTTTATATTCCACTTACGTAAGACTTCACTTAGAGTACGGTGTCCAAGCAGCTAGCCCGTGTCTGATAAAGGACACCAATTTACTTGAGCGCGTCCAGCATGCGGGTCTTTCTAAACTCCCTTTCGACGAGCGTTTAAAAGGCCTAAACCTTTTCCTCTTGTCATATCATAGTACGCGGGGTGACATTATACTGGCATCTTGTATCTTTAATTATGATTGGGGTGTTAATATGTTTTTCTCTTTTGCTCCCTCCAGCACTGATAATTTCCGAGGTCATAGAAAGAATGTTCACGAACCGCGACCTAATAAACTTAAAGTGGGGCCTCGTTTTTTTCATTGTATGGTCAGTGACTGAAATGCCTAGCCTGAAAAAGTGGTATCAGCCTCATTAGTTAAAATTTCCAAACAGTAGCTGGACCTCCACTGGAAGGAAATCTGTCAGGATTAACACAGGTTCACCAACCTACTATCCTTATTACTGAAGACTGAATATTTTTGCAGATCGATTTAAATATACTGTTAATTGATAGCGAACCTTATGAAATGATGTTGGAAATCATAGAAAGCATATTTATTCGGTATTTCTGCCCAATGAAAATTGAGGATTGAAAGATCGTATGTTTGACTTCAGATTAGCGGATTTTTGAGTTCTTCGTTACCTGTTCATTAGGGCTTCGTGGTTTTCTGTTTAGATCGTCTCTAACGTCCACTGTTTTATTATGGATGATACTGATCCTTATTTTTGTATGCAAGATGAAGTTTTCAAAAACTTGCAGCTTGTCAAAACTCTTTATGAAGATTGGAGAGGCCGATCAAACCCTGATGATCAGGAATTACTGACTAAAATCCGACAAACAATCAAGAATATAGAATGGGATTTGATGGATCTCCAGGTATTTTCATCTCGTTTAGCGTGTAACAAATATCATTTTTCGGGACTTGCCTATTTCTAAGTGCGTAGAACCAGTGTATGAGTTGTTGGCAGAAAAAATATACGGTCATATTTATCTCTGGTTAGCGTGAAAATTATTTTAATTAGGGATAGACCGTTTTCATTTAAAGTATTCTTCAAACCTTTGATTTTCACAAATCAGTATTGCTTATCCGTGTTACGTACATGCAAGTGCAGAAAAGTTACTAAATAAACACCATGATGGCAATGTTGCAGAAAAGTGCACGAGACATTTGCAATATGTCCCAAAAATGTAATTTGTCCTCGGGGATGAAACTGTTTAAAATACTTCTGTGTATATCGTGTTTGCACATCGTCTCATCATGTTAAGCATTGACCACAATAATTTGTCTTTTCCTGTTTTTGTAACTACTCAATACTCTTATTAACGTTTTCAATGGCCTGGGGGTCGTTTAGTGCAGTCGAATTACAGTGCGCCATCGTTCCAAGCCACAGGTCACCATGAGGTTTTAGTGTTATACGATCTTGATTGTTAGTCATCCTATTGAAGGAAGTAAGCTCTTGACGTGCTGTAACCAACATTTAAGCTGATAACCTTTCTTGTTACTTACCTGCAAAACTATTGAGCATACTTTACGGGTGGGGTTTGCGTCAACCGCCAATCTCATTGAGCTTTATATCCAATCAAGCCATCCGAAATTTTTCGGTAACATCTACCTGTATCAAAAGGACGTTATTAGTCTGATTGTTTAATATTTTCCTCTTAGTCAGGAACATAAACTTCATAAAATAGTCTGAAAAGCTCAGAACCTGATAAATTGGTAATAAAGTAATCTAACTCAATTGAATATAGATTATTTAAAGTAGTCACATTCGCTTTGTCTTGTATAACATGTACTCAGTTTTGCGGTTTATTTATTTATTTAAACACATAGATATTGGTACAAGAAAGCACCAGATATATATGCGCCATACAAATCCCATTCGATTTGCTTGAGGGCTGTGATACTGCCCAGGTGCCCAAACTGAAGCAGGTGGTTTTCTTAGGGAGCCACACCCGGAGCCTTTGACCTAAAGGTCTGATCCACAAGGCAGTGGAGCATCGTGAGGAGATGCAGTCTCATGGTAGCCGGTGATCAACGGTTGATTCGTACGCCATTTGTTCCCTGAGGATACTGGAGCCCATGTGCACCACTGGTTTGGAATCAGGGTTTTCCAACTTTCCTAGGTGGACTTTGCGTGTCCACCAACCCGGTTAAAGCTCCGGACATTCGCTTTTCATCCTCTCAATTTCGTAAACAACACCTGTGGCACGAGAAGGCAGTGAGTAGGACTTCCCTGATAGAGGCTATATACGGGTGGCCGTATGAGAACATTTTGAGAGGGAGAGGTGACTCTCCCCACTCTCTGTCGTACCAGGGCATTTGGGAGCGGTACACTTAAGTGTGAGCGTTAGTGATACTACTAGTCCAACTTAATCAGAGTGTTCGACTTGACGATTCAGACTTGGAACTTATTAGTTGATGGTCGATTGTTTTATTCATTATGCAGCCTTCACTAACTTATCCAAATGTATATGAGTAGACAAGTTGTGACACCATCTTCTCTTCTGACTCTCTTAGGAGGCATAAACACTCATAGTTACCAGTAGCATGTTGTTTTTTATCATCCTTATCCAACACGGTTGCACTTTTACACAGATTTCTGAACACAATGGGTGTTGTGGTTCTTTTCTCAGGTACAGGTTTACGTTCTCGGCCATGTAACATGCTATTTTGTATAGGGTTAATGATAATTCCGTACCAACAAAACAAAGTGTGACCCAAGCTACAAAACTGACTAGCTAGTTTAAAGCTCAAAGGTTTCGACTATCGTTATATCTCTAAAGATAGATCGACTATGTTTCCACCTTTCGTTTGTCTAACAACTTACGGAGGAAAATTTAATATGCCTCTTAAAAGTGATCATAAACTGGGGATTGATGTTGCCTTCCAAATGTAGTCCTTGAATTAGGCTTGATTTTCACCATATGCATCGTAAACTTACTCTGAAAACTAGTTAAAACATGTCCCATTATCTTTGGCTTCGCATATCACAGTTTCTGTTCAGATAAGAAAAACGTCGACGACTATATAAAGCGCTCAAATAGCGTTTATAAACCCGCTTTACTTGTTATTATTATTTATTATTATTTAAACACATAAATATTGGTACAATGAAGCACCAGATAAATATGCGCCTCACAAATCTCATTCGATTTGTGTGAGGCCTGTGATACTGCCCAGGTGCCCAGACTGAAGCAGGTGGTTTTCTTAGGGAGCCACACCCGGAGCCTTTGACCTGAATGTCTGATCCACAAGGCAGTGGAGCATCGTGAGGAGATGCAGTCCCATGGTAGTCGTTGACCAATGACAGGTAAGTTTACTTGTGGGACCGGACAATAGCATTCAACCTACAACCAAGGGCTAAGTGTTTCGTGGAAGTGTGCTGTATCCCACTTTATCGTTATGAAATATGGCCACTTAGTAGAATTATTAAGATTGAAGAAAGGAGGAACAACTAGGCATCGGTCAATACCAGCTGGCCAAGGCACAAGCCGAATACACAGAAGTAAACAAGCAAGTGAAGAGGAGCATCAGAACCGACAAACGTGAATATGTGGAAGATTTAGCAATGACAGCGGTAAGGGCTGCAAGAGAAGGTAACATGAGACAATTGTATGTTACAACAAAGAAACTTGCCGGAAATTATCGCAAACCAGAACGACCAGTGAAAAGCATTGAAGGCAAGGTAATCACCAACATTGAAGAACAACCGAATAGATGGGTAGAACACTTCAAAGAACTTTTAATCGACCAGCTCCACTGAACCCAGCCAACGTCGAAGTAGCAACCACAGACCTCCCAATCGATGTTGGTCCACCGACAATTGAAGAGATCAGCGTGGCCATCAGACAAATCAAGAGCGGCAAAGCAGTGGGACCAGACAACCTTCCAGCAGAGGCACTGAAAGCAAATGTAACAGCAACTGTTAAGATACTCCACATTCTCTTGAGTAATATTTGGGATGAAGAACAAGTACCAATAGACTGGAAAGAAGGACTTCTGATCAAAATACCAAAGAAAGGCGATCTGAGCGAGTGCGACAACTACAGGGGCATCACTCTTCTCTCAATACCGGGAAAAGTCTTCAACAGAGTATTGTTAAACAGAATGAGGGACTCCGTAGACGCCCAACTTCGAAATCAACCGGGTGCACCACACTTTATCATTCGATTTGTATGAGGGCTAGGGTACTGTCGGGGCGCCCAAACTTAAGCAGGTGATTTTCTTAGGGAACCAGTCCCCGAGCCTGTAACCTAAGGATCCAATCCATAAGGATGTGGAGAAATTTTATGAGATGCAGTCCCATGGTAGCTGATGACTGACAATAGTTTCATATGTCATTTGTTTCCTCAGGATCATGGAGCCCAGGCGCACCAATGGTTTGGAATCAGGGTTTTCCTGCTTCCCTAGGTGGATCCTCTATATCCACCAATCCAGTTGAAGCTCCGGACACTCGCTTTTCATCTTTTGGATTTCGTAGACAACATCCCTGCCGAGAGAATGTAGTGAGCAGGACTTTCGTGGAAGTGACTGTATACGCGTGGCCATATGAAAGGATTCGGACAGGGAGTGGACTCTCCCCACCCTCGGCTGTAACAGGGCATGTGGGGGTACAGACTGTCAAATCAATATGATTGTATAAAACTACGATCTAAAAATATAGTTTATCATTAGAACTTATCCGCAAGTCTTGTTCAACCTTCCTTGTGATGCGGCGAAAGTTAGTTTTAAAGTTCAACATTAGATAGTTTAAATCCAACTCAGTTGGAAAAATCGGGATAGAATCTTTTTACCTTACTGCTTGGGTAACAGCTCTTGTTTCTTTCATTATATCAAGTTTACTACACGTCAAATAAGTAGTGACTATTTCACCATTTCATATACTTATCCATTGCTTTGTTTCTTTGTTTTCTAATCCAGTCAGTATTATTAGTTTCTTTGCTTTTTTATTATTGCCTCCATTCGTTGTTTGTAAAGTGTAATAAAATGTACTGATACGTAGGTCTAAAATGTCTTTGTTTAAGTCTGTGTCATTTTTTACTAAATAATCAATTACTTGATTTGTGGTTATACAGTCAGTCTAATTTTATGGATTATATAGGCTTTCACCTTGACAAGTTGTTTTGTTCGTGCATTTTATTTATGCAAGAAAGGCTAATAATCGATATAATACTGTAGTTAAGATTTGTCTCTACGTTGTATACTTAGATTCATTCCTGTGGGATATTTCTAAAAGTCCATAGTTCCCATGAGGTTCGGTACGATTTTGTCCCATAAGTTGCTGTTGTGATTTCGGGACTTCAGCAAGTATGTTGATTTACTTAAGACTAAATGTGGGTTTACATTTTAGTAAAGGCATAAATTATCACAAAATCATGAGAGATTAGTATTCCAATTGGTATTGATAAGTATGTAGACGTTTACGAAAATTCCTGTTAATTGACTGGAAACTTGTAACAGGAATTTAAAGTGGAAACTTTCTTGTTGGTCTATTCACATATTCATTTCTCAAGTTCTGCTGTGTCGTAAAGTCTCTGACGAGTTAATACTCTGATTTCTCCTTGTCATTTGACATTAGTAGATATTCGCATCTACAATTATGTTATTTTTTTGAGCATTGTTTTTTTCCCACTTTTCATAATGTCTTTTTGCTTTCCATCACAAATAAGTATTAGTGAAGTATCTAATATTGAAAATAATGTACTTTACTTTCAGATGTAGGTCTATACAGTCGGTTTCGAACCCTGATTTTTTCTGTAAATGTTAGTCTTAATGGTCGACTGCCTAAACCAAAGCCTATAGAGTCGGGTTCTAATCTACATACCAAGTTAAGTGCTTTAACCACTGTTCTAGATATCTGAAAGAAGAAAGTTACCAAGTACTTGTTTTACTCTGTTGCATTGTTCTTCACCAGTTACCTACCTATAAAAGCAAGATATTTGTTATAATTTCTTTTATTACGACCCGGTTACTCTCACTGCTTATTATTTCTGGACACTAGTTCACTCGAAAAGTCCCCAAATCAGGACACAATTGAACGGGAACGAAATTATATTCCAAATGACAAGGTTAGATGTTATATCTTGTAGGTTGAACGCTATATTCAGATCCTAAGCTTTTCTGATAACCCCAGGCTAGAACTATTCAACGACTTGAAGACCAGAGAGAAGACACGAGTATGAGAGAAGTGCTTTACTACAAGGTTCATTTATGTACAGAAAGACAGGGGTTTTATAGTAATTAAAAGACCTTGAGTTTCCATAGTAGCAGTATGTTAAACAGCCAATTAGGACCTCGTTATTTTAGTAGCATAGCTTCTAACTAATCGCTGATTGGTTGGGGCTCTTTATGAGCCTCTGGAGGCTCTGATAGAGTTTACTGTAAACCGACTTAACAGTAGATGGAAGTGAGAATCATAATAGGCGAAACGTTAGCATATTTATAATTTCTACATATGAAGGTTCTAGATTCTTCTCCAAGTGTCCACTAGCACTGATTGGATAAGAAATAGTCAGCCAGCGTGCCCCAACATAATCCTGTACGGAACGTGCTTTAATCCAATTTATATCCCTTCAACAATATTCCACACCCTTTAATGAGTCTCGTGTGATGAAAGAAATAGGTGAGACTATAATTTATGGACACTATAATTTATGACACTAAACTGACCCTGAGAGTGCTCACCTAATAACTACGACCAAATAGGGGTTATAAACCAGTGTGAGGAATTAGAATTATGATCTACAGTTGATAGTTAAGGTTAGGAATTAGATTCATGGTTTTCATCACGAACTGACATAAGCTATAATGCCAAAACTCTATTTAGCAAAATGGATGAGTGAATTTTGAGCCGAAATCCGAGACCTGTTATTTTATACCTGATTGGTTCGTCTAGAAATTATAGTCTCGTCAAGAAATATTTTTAGCACTTTAAATCTCAGTTGTTATGGCGTAGGAATTTCAACTGACATATATGTGGTAGTTATACGTTGTTTATAATTGTTAGTTATTATTTAATCAACATTTATTGTAAAAAATAAACGACTCCCAAGTTTACTATCAAGTATCATTTTCAATCAATCTGAAATGTTTAATTTTCGAATCTATATCCAGGAAACTATTGGAGCAGTTGAAAATAACCCTATAAAATTTCATCTATCCGATAAAGATATATCAGCAAGACGTCAATTTTTAACAGAAGCAAAAAATGTAGTGAAGAATGCGAAAAATTGTTTAAACTCATCGGATAATGGCAGTAAAAGAAACGATCCGCCTATTGATTTCACAATTCATATCGCGCCGCGTCCATCATCATCACCACCCTCGTCAGTATTATGTAATGGAGATTTGAAAGTGAAGTAAGCGAATACCTTACAAGTTTATTTTGTGTATGGTAGAAATACTGTTACTGCCGTCCTATAACTTGCATTACGTTAATTCCTTGACATCAAGAGTTCGTTTTAATATTGATAGCTTTAACTTAATAAGTAAACACCTTTATATTAAACACTGAACTGCATTTTATAGATGCTGGTTAAAGATATTACCTAAGTATTAGTAGATTTATGATCCGAATTCGGAAGCAAAAGGTTCAATATTTATTTCACTGATTCACTTCTAGAACATTCATCTGTAAATCTTTTTGGTATTTGCTATAACTGCAAGTTGGTCGATATCCATGGAAGACTGGTCAGTCAGAATCTTGTAGTATTCCTCTACTTTGCGCAGACTACTTTACATATCGCCTTGTATCCTAAGTTTTGTCCAATTGTACGCTTCTATTGTCAAGATTGACCTTGACTTGAGGTTGAGGTAATCCCAATTCCTGTTGGTCCACAACGTATACCTCTCTTCTAGCCCAATCTTCTGTCCGGTAATAGAACATAGTAAGCAGTAGTTCAGTAATATATCACGTGTAAACCAACTCATCAAATAATACAGGTCAATTTCTTGGTCTTACTTAAACGTAAAGATAAAATTACAGGGTAGACATAACTAAACCATAATTAACGAATAGTAAGGTGTACGTCAATAGTTAGTGGGATCCACTGGAAACTTGCAGTAAGTAGAATATAGAAGTACAAAAATACAGTTATCTCATAATTATACAAACAAATTATTAATAGTGATAGTCCATAAGATAATTTTGAAAGACTCGTGTAACCGCATAGTTTCATCTGTGTTAATAATGCTTTGGGACACTATTTAGACAGAAATCCAAGACAGTACATATTAATCTTATTCACTTTAGGGACTCTCAGAGTAAACTGGGCATGAAAGGTCGGATATGCGTTTCCACAATTGGAAAAGCCTATTTGAGCTGAGGGTCCTCGGAAATTATTGTTTCTTTAATATTACTGTTGTTTGTTATTGGCATTCTAAGTATTGTCATAGTTCAATAATGTGTTTTAGTTATAGCAGAATCGTTTTGAAATAAGAGTTTTAACGGTTGGGGACATTTTATAATGATATTCAAGTAACCATGATTACATCAGACAGGATATATACGAGATAATAATTAAGGTATGGTTCTTCTGGCTGGTAAAGTTCCATAGTATGCACATTATCTGTTAGTTATGTCCATAACTAGCCAATCAAATCTTTGTTTAAGCACCCACCACGTCAATCTGGTCTGATGTGTCTGTAGACTATCCCTGTTGTATGTGACCTGCCAATCGGAGGAAATTGTTATCCTATTATATTGGTGGGACTCATAATTTATATTCATTGCGATGAGACACGCAATACTGGTCGAAACAGATAAAGTTTAAAGCCAAGTTGTTTTTGTTCTGAGTATGGTTTTCACATAGGCTCTGGGATCACCAGTATCGCGTTTACGTTTCTAGTAGTATATCTATAGGATGAATTAAATCCTACGTTATCGATCAACGTTAATGAAACTAAACTTAAGAATTTTTATTATGTAATCTTATGTCATTCAAGGCGTGGATAAAAGTTATTATTGAATCCTTCAGTCTTAGTTTCCTGTTGGATAACGGGGATCGATGCCTATAGAGAAAAACTTTGAATTTCCTTAATTGTAAAACATACCTTTATAACAAATGTTACAAAGCACGAAATATAAGCTTAAAGCCCTATGAAAATATGTAAAATCGAGTGATGTTCAATCATGCGGTTGTTTACAAGCATTTCATTAGTTTAAATACATATTTTGTGATGTGACTGGCTATTAGGAAGGGATCAAGCATTCGACTTTGGAATTTGTTTAAATTATAACTATTCAAATTTAGCGAATAACCAATGCAAAGTAAATCGTCATATTTATTTATTTATTTAAACATACATATTGGTACAAAGGGGCACCAGATACATATGTGCCACACATTTTTGTGTGAGGGCTGTGATACTGCCCGGGTGCCCAAACCGAAGCAGATGCTTTTCTTAGGGGGCCACACCTTGAGCCTTTGACCTAAAGGTCTAACCCACAAGACAGTGGGGCATCGTGAGGAGATGCAGTCCTATGGTAGCCTGTGACCAATAATTGGTCCATACGCCATTTGTTCCCTCAGGATACTGGAGCCCATGTGAACCATTGGTTTGGAATCAGGATTTTACAACTCCCCTAGGTGGACTTTGCGTGTCCATCAACCTGGTTAAAGCTGTGGACATTCGCTTTTCATCCTCTCAATTTCGTAAACAACACTTGTGGTACGAGAAGGCAGTGAGTAGGACTTCGCTGGCAGAGGCTATATACGCATGGGGAGGGAGAGCAAACTCTCCCCACTTTCGTCCGTACCGGAGCATTTGGTCATATCCTATTAAAAATGTGTATCATTAAATTCTATTCAATATATGTTAACAATTTTATCAGTTTAATATATTTAACATTAAGTCAGTTTCACATTACATTTAATTGACAACTAATTGTATTTTCTTTTACCCCTTTCTTTTACCATCTTCCCTTTTAAATCAGTAATCAAACAACAAATAAAACACAATCTAGTATAAGAAGAAATTCTCATATAAAGAAGTCATCACCATCATCAAACATGTATTCTATACCCTATGATCCATTAACAGAACAAAAACAATTATTATATGAACAAGACAATCGATTAAATCAATTAGGTACAACTATATCAAATTTAAAAGGAATGTCACAACGTATTGGTGATGAATTAGGTGATCAAGTTATTTTATTAGATGATTTCAATAATGAAATGATTAGTACAGAGTCAAGACTTGATTCAATAACTAAACGAACATCACGTTTATTACATTTAAATACTGATCGTCGTCAATGGTGTGCTATTTTCTCTTTATTAATTACACTTCTTGTTATATTGATTTTATTTGGTATCCTATAATTGTTCTCATAAATAAATAGGATATATATATATATATGTATATATCCAAGTGTTTTTGTATTATACTGTCTTGTTCTCACCTATATACGTCTCTTTTTCCAAGTGATTATTTTATCAATTGTTTTCTTATGACTTGATCTATTTGTTTATTTTTGTCCAAACCAAACTGTATTGTTCTCACTATATGATGATAATAATAAGGTTTATCATCTTTACTTTTATTGTTAAATGATTTAGTTACTAATTCAACATTATCTGTGATGTTAATTTAATTAAGAAGTATTCAAAGATTTTTATTATTAAAGAGTTAGTTATTGTTGTTGTTATTGTTGTTGTTGTTGTTGTTGTTGTTCTTCTTCTTCTTGTTGATACTTTTACATTCAAACTTGAATCATTTCAAATGCTGATACTTCGTATGACCTGTATTTGAAAGTGATATTAATCCCAGTCTTTAACAATTATCATTTGAACTTTTTAATTTTCATATTTAAAAAAAATGTTCTTAACAAGTATATATGTATGATCAGATTGCACAAATATATAACATAATTCTGATAAACTTTGTCTTCTCATTGCATTATTGAAAAATTATTGTTTGAGTTAGAAACTTCTTGGTAAATGTTTAAATCTCATAGATAAAGTATCAGTTCCCTTGAGATTCTAAATAAGCTTTGATGATAAATTCCAATAAGCAAAAAATATAGGTCAAACAGGATATTTTTACTAGTCATCTCCAACCATCTGACATTTCAACATAATGTACATGATATCGTGTCACTTAGACTAAAGGGTACATTGTAATTTAATAGATAGAATTCTGTAAGCACTAAGGACTAGACAAACAATGAAACTGGTTACTACTCAATAATCAATCAATATAAACTCTATGTGACCTGATTTCAAGGATATTTGCTGGGATTAAGAACCTGGTGCCATTTCTCAGTGGATCTAATAGATTCGCCATACAAATAAACATTTATTAATAACCTTGACTAACACACATTGCACTGAAACTTTCAACATTGATATGATAAGAAGTGGATTAGTAAAAATTATTATGTAGAATAGCTGTTTATTGGTATGACACTTTTACACATTAACATACATACATACATACTATCAGATAATGAAATGTTTGCGGGAGTCCTACTTAAGTATTACTGCTGAACGCCAACTGGTGATGTGGATTGCTAACTCATCGAAAGTTTTTCTATGGTAACTAGTCTCACCAAATTGAGAGTACAGATTGAAGGAAAACCCTCCCTTTAAACATAAGTTGCACTGTATGAGTCGTTTCTTGATACATAAAATATAAAAATAAATAATGATCTTGGGCTCGGTGAGATGTATTGATCAGGACAAATCACAGAGTAGTCGAAGTTGTAACAATATCAGTAGTGGTAGAAAAGACTTGGGATAGATAACATGGGATAAAGAGTAATATAATTTCAAAACTTAGGATCTAAGGAAACATATGCTCCATTGCGACTAATTTTCGCCCATGTCATCCAAAGGTTGGTCACGATATCCCGGACCTCAACTAGGTGGTCTTCACCTGCTGACGCTCTCATTCTGTCATCGACTTCATGAACATGTGCTGCGTTTCGGTTAGTTCACCTCAAGCTTTCTTCTGACCTACTCCTACATTATTCAGCATCATGTGTCAAAGTAGTCGATAGTTTCCCAGACGTAATACTTGTCCTGACTACCTCAGACGATGTAGATAACCTATTGCCCTCCATCTAACCTCAACACCGCTCATTTTATAGTCCCGATATACACGTAAGCAATAAGTTGGTAATATTTTCACCATACATAGTGGAAGATGTGATCTAAACACTCTTGTGGATACTCCCAGTTCGATTGATCTTTCTATTTCATCTAGTGTAGCTAAACTCACTGCTTCGGCATATGAATTGAATGCTTTTCCATCAATGCTAAATAGGTTATTAACAAGAAAGCCTTGAAATTGAATGGTTTGGCTAGTTGGTTGTAGACAGTTTATCAGCCTAATGAGATTCTCTGTTTATTCAAAAACCCGTTTATATTTATTTCTGGTTCCCAATATTTTGAAAAATATTACTCATGATCGACCGGAAAATGACCCATCATGTAAGTTTTGAACTCAAATACTACTCTGACTATTCAAATGCAATAGAGATTCTCAGTAGACCAAACATAAGACATTAGTGTTTCACCGTCCCCGGCGCTAACTAGATTATTCATTCAAAACATTGTAAATAATCTCGTGCTATCAGTTTGAAAGATTTCATCTGCTTTGGTTCGGCACAGAAGATTTAGGATTTTTAAATTTGGTAGCTATAAAATAAAATACCACCGACTTCCCTTAGTCTTATTATGATCGTGGTAATGATCGACCACCTTTAAACTGATTCCTTTTCCCTTAAATATATTCTGTAAATTATCTCCAATCTTGTCCCATCTATGTAATCTAGAAATGACTTCATACTGAGTCAGTCGCTCATGGTGTATACCGTAACTACTATGTATCTTTTGACTATCTTAAGGGTGACCTGTATTTAATCCACTGCTTAAACAACTTACGATGCATCGAGGCTTTTCGGCTAGTTACTCACCTTTATTATTATTAATGGCTTTATTCAATAGTATCATAGTTGAAATCATGAGTCAATTGAAGCTAGACCACCATGGAAAACCTGGAAGCACTGGACGGCCGTTTCGTCCTATTGTGGGACTGTGACCAGTGGAGTTCAATCAGGTCTGTTGTGACTCCTCAGCAGTGCGCATCCACGATCCCGCCTCGCGAGATTCGAACCCAGGACCAACCAGCCTCGCACCAGAGCACTTAACCGATAGACCACCGAGCCGGCATCCAACGGTGTTTTCCATGGTGGTCTAGCTTTAATTGACTCATGATTTGATCTATGAAAATACTAAATTCTCCACAAAACCCCTTCTGATTTATTCAATATTGCATGTTGAGTACAATATGGAAATTTCTTTAGTATTCAAATAGATATACAATCCCCTTCTTATCTCTTCAAAAGAAGTCTCAGAATTTTCGCAAATCAAAGACTATGCTTTTATAATTATCATTTATGATTGTCGAAATATATCGATAACTAAAAAAAATTCAATTTTTGACTTTCACAATTTATGAATATATATATAGACTACTAATAATAAAGTAGTAGACAAAAAATGAATGCGAAGTGTTTATTATTACATAAAACAGTTGGATTTTATTTGAATATAACTGTTAGTTAACTTGGAAAGACTTTGGAATAGTTAAAAGTTATTTGAGCATGAGGTAAGAACAAGAGTTTCGTGTCTACAATGAGAGGAGGAGGAGAATTCTAATGGATGTAGAAAGGAAGATATCTTTTTTTTTGTATCTGTCAGTCGTTTCATTGAATTCAAATGGATTAATCTAACAAAAAAATCATTTCTCTGTGTTGATTGTGTGTTCATTTACATAAATATGACTGTTCAAGAAGACAGTAAGTTTTGTTTGTTTTACAATAAAGTTGCTTTCATAATAAAATGCTTTGAGTTAAGTTTATATATAAGTATATAGACAGTTGATATTTATTTTTTATCGGAGGAGCTTTAACAATATGATCTAAATTAGTCCTAACTATTGATTCCATTCATTTGAGCCTTATTTTCTTGTATACAAGTGGTAGTTTTTCTCGGTAAATCATGACTATTAAGCATATCCACAGGTGTGTTCATAAAGTTTTCTGACTGGTAATTTCTAGTAGAATTCGTCATAAGTTCAATCAACTGTTGTTGTTGTAGGCTCTGCTCTTTATGATGTGGATATGGACGTGTTTGTAAATAGGTTGGATAATCTGCAGAATATAATATTGATTGTGTCGATGGTTGGTTCGTATAACCACTGTTTTGTGTTTGTCTATCAGTTAGGATGGATGAATTATGCGAACCGACTAAATTCGGTTGCCATGAAATGATGGGATTTATTGTTAATGTTTTATTTACTGGATTCATTGTTTGCGTCCATTGCATAGTTAAAGGTGCAATATTTGCAGAAGCTTGAAAGATTCCATTATTTGGCTGATTTCCGATATCGTTACGATTTAACTGTGTATTATTCATGGGAAATAAGGACTGAGCAGCCAGGCTAAGAAACGATTGTGCTGCACTAGGATTTAAACTGTTATTTTCTGTCAGTCCAGGTTTTAGAATACACCTTTCACCAACAAATGTTTCTAATGGTCTGGGTACATCGTATTCATGACTTCCTGCCCCTGAATAAGCATATTCAGGCATTGGCCAGTAGGCTGGATTCGGTGGCGGTGTGGAATTCGCTTCTAGACGAGGGTTTGGAACAGTTGTGAGTAACAGCGCTTGTGGTATATTCGGTCTACGGGCCGATATAGTTGTTGAGCCAAACTGCGATGGCATCGGAGTAGTGGTTGCTAACACTGTATCAGCAAATGTGGTACATGTTGTTTCCAAATCTCCATGCTGTAACAGTTTAGCATCTAAACCATTTCCATTTTGATTAGAATGATGCGACCCAATATTATTCATAGCTGACTGATGCTTAGTGCCTCTTAACAGATGGCCATTATTATTGTTGCTACTATTTATCCATGAAAACCACTTACCATGCGATCCTAAATGTGATTTGCGTAGATTTTTTGCTGATAAATGATTATTGATTTGACAAAACCAGGAGAAACAGTTTGTCGCCAAGTATAATAATGCTAAAGTGGCAATAAATGTTCCTATGACTGCACCGAGTAATTCTAATAATGTAAATCTTTTTATGAATAAATAACCATATGTCTCTTTACTTTCTTCTTGAAATGAATTTGTTGTCTGTTTACCAAGTATCTGTGAAGTTGTAGTCATTGATGACAATGAAGCTTCAGCATTGTCATCTTTTGAAGCATGTTGCTTACGACTGTCCAAACTTGAAGACTCACCAATTACTATAGGATTAGTAAATTCAGGTGATCGTAGAGGTCCAGACACACGTACAGTAACTTCATGAAGCCTATAATATTGAAATTTGGTTTCATGATTATCAGATGTTGGGACAATTAGTGATGTAGGTTTAAATGTGTTAACAATACTCTCCGAAGAAGTCAGTGGTGTAGTAGATAACGAAGAGATCGATGGTATTCCATCATTATTCCATATCGTACATGTGAAGTTTTCAATATTTACTGAATTCAAGCTAACATTTAATGCAAGTTTTCGTTCAATCATTTTATCCCCTGGTAATATATTCAAAGATGGTTGACTTATAGAATGCATAAAATATTGATCATTGGAACCTTGTTTAACTGAGGGATCTAAAATTTGTTGTACTTTTTGTCCATGTATCTTATATGTCCATGCAAGACTTGGTGTTGGTCTTCCTTTGCCAATACATGTTAGTTGAGCAAAATCTGCACTTGCTTTTAACATATTTATTTCAATTCCAGTTATACTTGGGATTGGACAAAAGTAATCCCAACTACGTGGTAACTTTTTACCAGCTAAGGCAGGTGGTTGTGCACATGTCATATTCATATGTTGCATTAAACGAATTGATGATTCTGTTGGTGAATTTGACCAATCAGTAACATCTTTTTTATGATCATTATTGTTTAAATCTTTACCAGTGACATACTGATATGCATCGTAAGACTGACTTTCAACCAGCCTTGAAAGCCACACAAGCTGGCAATCACAATTTAATGGATTATTGCTCAAATCTAAATAGCCAAGGTTAGGACGAGGTGGAACAGTTGATAAATGATGAATTTTTGACTTTGGAGGATCTATAACAAGTTCAGCAAATTGTGGATCTAACCATGTTAAGATATTATCAGATAAACTTAATTGTTTCGGTTTAGCCTTAGCTATTGTCTCGTAATCTAATGAAGTTAAATCACAGTTCCGAGCTGCCAAATGAAAAACATGAGCACCATAAAATGATGTTCTATCAAAAATTATACCTTTATTATCAGTTAATGAGAGAAGTTTTAAAGATGGTCCAGCAAATGCTTCTGATCTAATTGTTATTATTCGATTTTTTGATAAATCTAATATACGTAAATGTTCCATAGCTGAAAATGTATGTGATTCAATCTCTTTTAAATCAAAATTACTTATTTGAAGATATGTCAATGTTTCTAGACCAGTTAGATTATCACGTGTTAAAATTCCATTATGTTGACCGGTAGAACTCATTCCTGAAATGATAAGTTTTGCAATTTTTGTTGGAATATCATTTCTTGGAATTGGTAAAGATGGTATTGTTGATTGACAAAATAATACAGGACGATCATTTTCAGTTAATTGTAAACATGCACATTTAATAGATGATGTATTAATGCTTAGAAGAATGAAGAAATATGAAATGTACAAAAGTCTTAAACTGATGAACTGACCCATGGAATTCATGAGATATTTGGGTTCCATATTCTTTTTTTTTCAAAGTTGTCAATTCTGTTGTTATAATAGCAGAATGATCTGTAGAAAAAGAAAAAAAGTAACTTATTAGAATACTAAAGACTGTATGATAAGGATATGTCAGAAGGGGATTTGTGGAGATTTCAGTATTTTTCAAAGTTGAAATAATGAGTCAATTAAAGCTAGACCACCATCGAGAACCTGGGAGCACTGGACGGCCCTTTCGTCCTATTATAGGACGCCTCAGCAGTGCGTATCCACGATCCCGCACTCACGAGATTCGAACCCAGGACCTACCAGTCTCGAGCCAGGGCCCATAACCGATAGACCACTGAGCTAGTTGGCATTCAACGGTGTTATTGTCTAGACAATAACACCGTCCAGTGCTTCCAGGTTTTCGATGGTGGTCTAGCTTCAATTAACTCATGATTTCAACTTTTAAAAGTAAGGATATGTATTTTTTAAAACGGCCAAGCAGTTACTGATTTAAAGTTTGAAATGATCATGACTACCGATTAGAATATGTAAGAAATACTAGATGATCATCATCACTCATTCATCAATGTCTGATAGGATTTTGATTTGATCTAAAACTGAATAAGTGTATAGTCTAAATCTTTGGCCATTCGATTTGGTCAATTGATTAGGTATTATTCATTGTTATGTACTGACAACTGTAGTAAGCTTAGGGTAATTTTTACTTATTCTTACTCAGTTTATTCAAACAAAGTTCTGAAAAGCTAGGAGGATAATTTTTTATCGGCTACCTAGATAATGATTTGTGGTAGCCGGAACTAACAACATACACATCATTTCTGTAGTGTGGTGCATAATATTCCAAAAAGCCATAACTCTAATTACATCCGAAAAAAAAACAGAGTCCGTTTACCTTCTGTGAGTGTTGACAATAAACATGCGTACATTTTTTGGATAAAGTTTTAATATTTAGGGTTCAGTGAGGGCTATAATGTAACTTGACATCGGCAACTAGCACATATGACTTCAATATTTAGCCGTTAACACAAGGAGAAGATGAATTGTAAGAAGACTTGATAATCGAAGTAGAATAAGCAGGACCAAATGAAATGGTACAACTCCAGATATATGGTTATGACAACATGACCTTCATCAAGGATATGAAAATTTAGCTAACTAAAAGCAATGGGAACCCGTCAAGAAAAGGTAATGCAGAAAATTTGGAATAAAAGCACATGGGGTTATCGTTTCTGGTAAAAATGTTAGCAGAGTTGACAACATTTGAATAATCTTGTGATATTTCTAGCACATAGAAACTATTTCAACTTATCAGTTTTGAGATACATATCCTTATTCACATAGTGTTGTGAAGCATGATACATAGATTGTTTGTTCACTAAACACTTTATTATGCACTAGACAACATCTCTACCAAAATGGTTTTGTATAAAAAATAATGTGAAATTGCAAATATTTGTTTTGTAACATGTGGCTAGCTACAATGCAAAATAGTTTTAATGTCTTAAACTCAATTGTTTGTATAGAATCATGCTCATCGATAATTTACCCAGAATCACTTAATCAGGAATCATTTGGAGAGAGAATCATTGGTAGAAGAGAACAAGTAGGTTCAGTTTCTTTGTTTTCATTAGCATAGTAGGTATATGGTTTTCAATTGTCATCCTGAGCTTTATCTTCAGTGCTTAATTCATGTATCTGATCTTAAAGTTTTCAAAGGCTAGTTGTATCTTATTTGATAAATCCTACTGATTAGTAATTTACATTTGTTGGTCCATTGTCCTACTACAATGCTTAATTCAATTTCACATGGAATAAGAGTGTCTGTTCATTTTTTCCCCAGGTTTTAGAATTATCTTAACTAATGTGTAGTTTAAATTCATTTAGTATTGTTTGTTTGAATATTCTCATCGATGTGTTAGGACTGCAACTGGTCAGTCTCTAATTGGCATATGTGCATACTGTACGTATTGCCTCAATATAGACTTAATTCACAAGCATTGTTAGCAAAGATGGATAGTGACTAGCAGTGGAATCCAGGACGCGCGATGGGAAGATTCAAACAAACAATACTAAATGAATTTAGACTTCACCCCATTGCACAAGCAAGTGGCTATCAGGACTCAGTGGCCGAGTGGATAACACGATGGCGTTTGAAGCGAAAGGTACTGGGTTCGAGTCCCAGAGTGAACATCTACTCTGAGATGCAGGTACATCCAGCTGACGAGTCCCAAATAGGACGAAATGTGCGTCCTGGATTCCACTGCTAGCCACTATCTATATTTGCTTACCATAATATGTTGTTTGTTTTAGATATTGGGGAACAACAAATCATTGTATGTGTTAAAGCAAATTCACTAAGTTTCTTTTTTAAACAATACGTTCACTCTTCAAGAAATAAAAATAGGAAATAATTAATGGTTAACTTATTATTTTTCAGTGACCTGTGGAAATTGTTTCAAGTATGAAAAAAAAAGACAGATAACAGATTACAGAGATATACATTACTCATGGAAATGACATGTAATGATTTATATGTATTCACACTAATATTAAAAACTGTTCAGATTGATGTAACTAGGTCACGAGGATTGATATCAGGGTACATGTTGAAAAAAAGACCAATAGTTGAGCAATAGAAAGAGGGAAGATTTGGTAAAGTAAGAAAGTGAGAGGGGAAGGAATGAGATAGGAAAGGGAAATCTTAATAATGATAAAACGATAAATCATTCAACTGTTGTATGTTGCATGTTCAGTATTCAATTAACATTTTGCATATATACACATGCCTATATTCGTAATCTAGAGGACAGATCAATAGGAACTATAATACGAATATGTTTTTTTATTATGCTTAACTGAAAAAAAATCAGCATTGTGAAATTTTCATACTACTGAACGATTTTGTTTTATTTCTTTACTTTATGAGAAGGTTGGTTAAAACTAACGGTTATAAATTAGTGATCTAAACGTCAGAAACTTTAAAGTAACCAATAACAGCCACTAAATAACGCTCACTAATAACGACTCACACAGTCACATATTAAGTTCATTTAGTATTATTTGTTTGAATCTTTCCATTGATGTTTAGGACTGCAACTGGTCAGTCACTTATCGGCATATGTGCATGCCGTGCGTATTGCCTCGATATAGCCTTTTTTCCCAAGTATTGTAAGCAAAGATGGATAGTGGCTAGCAATGGAATCCAGTTTGACGCGCGTTTCGTTCTATTTAGGACTTGTCAACTGGATGTACTTGAATCTCAGAGTTGATGTTCACTCTGGAACTCGAACCCAGTACCTTTTGCTTCAACCAAATAGGACGAAACGCGCGTCCTGCATTCCATTGTTAGCCACTATCCATCTTAGTCATATATTAGTTTTATGAGTCCAAATAAACAATGATCAAGCTATCAGTAGAAAGTAATACTAATTGTTCTATGAAATCTTATGTATCAAAAAAGTCGAATGAATTTAATTTATTGAATCAACAACGAAGTGTATCATCGTTTATGACGTGATAATTTTGTAGACACTACAAAATGTACATGTACGTGGTCGCGTTTGTGAACAGTAATGAATGAGTTGCACTCTTAATGTGTGGTGTTCATTTATTTATCCACTTGAATATACACAACTGTCATTCTTTTTTATCTAGATCATATTAATCGTGTACAATTTTCTTCGACTTATTATCTAGATTTAATCGGTTCATCAATATTAATAGTGGTTAATATAAAGATTTTCAATGTCCTATTCATTTAGTGTTATGGACTCACACTACTGATAAGTAATAAATAAGAATGAAATACCTTTTTAAGTATGTTTAGTTTATTACATTTCTTTGGTTGATTAAAACTATTCGTAAAACAGGAATACTTAATTCTTTCTTGTTAAATTTATAAACAGGAAGTTTTAATTCCAGATTTTATTCTATGCAACAAGTATCGACAAGGAGTATTTTTACTCTGTAAGAATAGTAGGGTTCGTGGTCACGCAGTAAATTGATACATAGGGTTGATTCAATAATAAAAACTACACAGTACGACATTAGTTAAGGGGCGAAAAAATTCTCATAGTTGAAAGCGTTAGTCAATTGAAGCTAGACCATCAGGGAAAACCTGGAAGCATTGGACGGCCAACTCATACTATTGTGGGACTCCTCAGCAGTACGTATCCACGACCTCGCCTTTCGAGATTCGAACCCAGGACCTACCAGTCTCACACCAGAGCACCTAACCGGTAGACCACTGGGTCGTCATCCGATGGTGTTTATATTGGTTGGTGCTCTGGCGCGAGACTTATAGGTCCTGGGTTGGAATCTCACAAGGCGAGATCGCGGATGCGCACTGCTGAGAAGTCACACAATAGGACGAAACGGCCGTTCAGTGCTTCCGGGTTTTTCATGGTGGTTTAGCTTCAATTAACTCATGCTTTCAACTATGAAAATGCTAAATCTCCACAAAAAACCCCTTCTGAAAAAATACTGTTTATTTTGTTTGCAAAATTTTATTGGATTTACATAAATAACTTATTTTCTGAATGGAACTGATTTTATTACTGTAACTTTCATCAAGAAAAAAAAATCATCATTATTTACAAAATCCAAGTGTAGAAGAGAATGATGAATAATTCAATAATTTCCGCTTTGACAAATTTTAGTTCCAGAAACTTTACACTTAAGTCCAATCTTACACAGAACAAACTACAATAGATATTCAATGATAACAAGTAGCTACTATTTAATACTTTAGCAATACCGCCACAGCAATGATGGAAATGTTAAACATCATAAAAATATTCATAAAATTATACTTTTATAGTAATAAAAGCAAGCGAAAGGGTACCAATGATAACCTTTTCGTATTCCGGACATTGGATAAAACACTACAACCAATGTTTATGGTTGTATATATTGAAAGCCTGTAACATGCGATTATGAACCACATCCACTCTAGTCTATTTTATGTTATATGATCAAAACAGTATACACTGTATCAATTACAGTCTATGGGTACAAAACAAATCAACCCCTTTCTCCCCCTCCTCCCCCCCATCTAAATAGAA